TTATATCTCTTAAGACATATGTTAATTACATAATTCCAATTTTTCATTTATCAAAATATTTATTACACAATTTTTAAATTATTTTTAAGAAAAACTGTCCCAGACGACTTCAAACTAAGTCGTCTGGACGACTTAGTTTAAAGTCGTCTGGGCAGACGACTTGCGAGGGCTAAAAACGTAAAAAAAAAACTCTTTTTTTTTTGTTCACAAGGGGTTGGTTGTAATTTCAACAGCCTTTAAAGTTACTTTTGCATTTGATTCAAGTTTGGGTTTACTTTTGCATTTCAAATCAAGTTTTGAGTCATATTTGGCAATTTTCCCAAAGTTAAAACGTAAAAGCGCCAAACTATTAAATCACCCAAACTATTTTTTTTGTTAGCCACCCATCTAAACTAGATCAAGTGGTGGTTAGACGAGTCGATCTTCCAAGGAACATTTTCGTCTGGCCGAATTTGATCAATATGGAAAAATATATAGTCTCCAGTCCTTGTTTTTTTGCTATTTTGTCTGCTCAATTATTCATACTTCGAGGAATATGAGACAAGTTCGCATCCTCAAAATCCTCTTGTAATCCCTGGAAGACTTCGATCTCTATCGTGAAAGTTGACCAATTGTCCGGGTTTGTAGTCATTTACACTAAGTCCGAGCAGTCCGTCTCAAACCATATCAAAGTTATCCTCTTGTCTCTCATATATGAGGCTGTCCAAAGTAAAACTTCCATCTCAACATGTAAAGCTGAGAGGCTCTTTCTGCATGCTCGTACTCCGAAGACTATTAATCCATGACGCATCAATTTGGCAGGTATGAATTCAGGGTATCCAAGGGGACATTATCTCAACCTCTGTAAATGAAGGGTTATCATGATCCTCATTTGTTTCCTCCTTTTTATTAGCCTTCCTCCAACATTATGCCTCAAAAGAGGCATGTTGGAGATTTTCAATTGGGGATACGACTTTTCCATTAAAGAGTTTGTTGTTCCTCGTCTTCCAAATGTACCAACAGATCCATGGGAAGGTATCGAATTGTGGTCTCAGTGGAGCCACCTCTTTTCTCTCCCAAAGCAGAAAGTTCATGTTTTGGTATATAGATGGTCTCGGGAAGTCACCCGGAAGGAAAGTATAATCCGATAAAGCCCAAACCTATAGGGCTGGGGGGCATTCAAAAGAAGATGACTAATAGACTCCATTGGGCCAGAACTTCTAGGATAAATCCTATCGGTGTCCATGTGTCTATAAGTGAGTCTCTATGCCGTCGCCACACATCCTAAGATAACCTGCCACAAGAAATGATTCATCTTACTTGGAGCCTTTATCTTCCACACATGGCTCGTGATACTTGGTTAACCTCCTCATGTGTGAGACTTCTCTTGGTCGATTGGAGTATATCATAGCCGATTCTAACTGAGTACATTTCTGATTTTTTGTGGTTCCAAACATATCCATCTGAAGTAAGAGATCGAGCTTATCCCAAGTATCAAAGGGATATCTTCTGGGTGAAAAAATTCCCATAAAAGTTGTATATCCCACTCCTTGGTATCTGATAAGGGTTTTTAAGCCTTAAAAAAATCAAAGTAGTATTTTAGATGTCAATCCAAGTTCTAAATGTTTTGAAACAAAGAGATTACAAGCTATGCTTAATCTAAATGCAATCAGTTTAGAGAGTGTGAAATGATTTAAGAACAATACAAAATGCAACAAGTAACAAGCTTTCTCTCAATTAGTGAAGGTAAGACTCATGGGAATAGGTATTTGGTCTAGGTGATCAAGTTTCAATATAAAAATGACAAGCTTTCAGTCAAAGTGTTTCCTTAAGTCTAAACAACAATGCTAAACAAGTTCTAAGTCTAGACAAATGTCCATTTGCTTTCATTAATCAAACACAAATGGTCATTGGCTTAATTAATTCAAGCAATCATTAGGATTAAGTTTAATAACTATCTAAAACTTCCTAGATACAAATGATCATTGGCTAGGTAGTCTTAAAGCTAGATGAGTTGGTTCAGACATTTAAACAAACACCTTATGGGCAGAAAATGTCTAATGATCATGACTAAAGAGGCCAACATTAATCAAGCATCAAAATCACTCAACTAACAAGGAAACACAAGGATCTAACACCTAACACCTTAGATCTACAGTAATCACCCTTACCAACCTATCCCATGAATCTAAAATGGATCTACTCACTAATACCTATGATTAACCTAACAACAATGATTGATTGTTGGTTAAACATGATTAGAGATCAAGATTACTCAACAAACTTAAGAAAATAAGATAAAAAGAAGATAAAGTTATGATCTTTCACCAAAATAAGTACCTAGGTTTAGAGAGAATACAAGATACTCCTAAAAAATTTGGTCTTAACAGTATTTAAAGGCTAGTTAAGTCGAACCGGGTCAACCCGACAAACCCGGATCGACCCGATTATGTTTGGATCGGATAGGCAATCAGCGGCCAGCCTCGGACGCTGGGAGATCGGCGGGAAGGTGCGGACGCTGGCTTCGGACACCAGGAGCACGCAAGAATGGGACGACATGGTGCCATGGTCGCTGGCGGTTGGATCTGGACGCGTGACCCAGACGCTGGAGTGCTGGCGGTCAGCCTCGGCCGCCTGGCCCGGACGCTGGGCGCACGCGTGTCCCGGATGATGGGATGCTGGCGGTCAGCTTCAGCCGCTGGACTCGACCACTGGTCGCATGCAAATGTTGGAGATTGGAGCTTGGTCGATCAGCGGTCGGGCCTGGACGCTGGAGATGCTCGGGCCAAGTCTAGTGCCTTATTTCTGTCTTTAAACCGCTCCAAGTCCTCAAGTACTCTGATATAACCACTCCAAGTTCTCCAGTACCTAAATCACACAAATGCACATGCAAATGTACTACAAACATCTAAATGCAACCTAGAAAAACTTAAAAATGATCATTAAAACCATGAATTATGCAAGATATCAGTATCCTTCCTACTAAAGGACTGAACAAGAAGTTGGGGTAGTCTGTACACAATATGATTGACATGTTTAGGTGGTCAAGCCAGTGAGTCTGAAACCCAAGACTCACTCAAAACTCTCGTATCTCGATCCGTACCAATTGTTTTCAGTAAGCCCGAAAGGATTCTATTATTGTGTTTGAGTTCAAGACGTTTCTTAATACTTTTCCTTATTAGTATTAAGATTAGCTCTACGAAAGTATGTTGATTTTACCATGTCTGCTTGCTTGAGTCCTTGAGATTTCACTCATGTCCAATGCTTCTCTTACATTGTCACTTTCTGCATGTTTGCATTATTTCGCATTATTTCATTTTTGTTTAGTTTTATAAACTAAAAATATTTTTCGCTTTTAGTCTTAGCCCTACTCTTGTCTCATATACTTGTCGTGTAACTACTAATTTCTATGGATTCGATTTAGAAGTGCTATATCGACATATTATTTGATTGTGATAGTGTGAACATGAGGTTAATTGGTGTGATAAAATGCTTAATATCAATTTGCTTGATGTGGTTGTATTATTTTTTCTTTATGATACATGCCAATAATAAGTTCAGATAGTAAATTAATCTATACAATTATTCTGCAAAAAGTGCTATATTGAAGTTATGAAGATTTCGAAAACCTGTTAACCCCATATTATTAAATAACCTCATTTGGACAACTTGTAGCTAATCAAATAAGGCAACCCACGTGATTCACGGCAGACGGGTGGACCCAATATATACCATATATGTTCATTTATATATATATAAAGGTATCCACCGTTGTCCAAAACAAAATATAAAGGTATCCACCAGGAACCTAGAGTATCACTTTTCTTCTATGGCCAGTTTACAGCAGGTGAGTCCACATCTTAGTTACCGTAATTCCCTTGTAAAGACTATCCAACGTCCTCGGTCTTTTACATGCGCCATAGTAGCCAAAACGACACCAGGTAATGAGTCTCCATTTGTTCCTCGTCGTTCCGCAAACTATCGGCCTTCTCTTTGGGACCGTCACCATCTCCTAACGGTGAAGAATAAATATACGGTACGTAAGTATTCACTATACACAGTTTTTTGGAGTATTCAGTATATACAATATGTCAAATATGTTCGTATATTTGTTCATTTACAATGTCCACCGTTTCAGAATGTTAAAAGTGTGCGAGAGAGGGATTTGTTGAAAGAAACTGTGAGAAAGATGCTCGATCATGAGAAGAGTACTCATCTCGACCAGTTGGAGCTCATTGACGATCTACAAAAACTAGGTGTTTCTTACCATTTTGAACGGGAAATCGGCAATATTTTGATATTTAATTATCAAAAGTTAGATAGAAGAAACTTCAAAGAGTGTGGCATGGAATACGATCTACACGCTACGGCACTCGAATTCCGGCTGCTTAGACAACATGGTTTCAATGTTTCAGAAGGTAATCATCACTTATAATTTATAAACGTTACATTCTTGATCTATTTAATATATATAGGGGATACTGATCTCTTAGTTTCACGTTAGAGTCGTTTTGGAAACTTTGACACAAATTAAGAGAAATCTTAATTTGTATATTTATAAATTTTTATTAAATATATATAGTAAATATTATTTTCACTCTACGAACTATTCGTTCGTCCTCGACAACTTAGATTATTCCAATCTAAGTTTGCCATTTTCTGATTTAAAAAATTACTTTACAGAAATTAAATAGTTACGTAGTTATATATATGCACCCTTGTCCCCACTGGAAAAGATAAGAAACTATTCAAATGTACAAAGAAATAGGGGAGATAGCATTGTTTCAAAGAATATTTTCAAACTTCAAGATCTCTCATATAATAGAGAGCAGAATCGGATAACAGATGGTTTAGTTAGAATTGTTTTCTCGTGATTTAATTTTTGTTGGTTGTTCTATATATGTTATCCTGAATTCTCAGATTACATCTAATTTGAATAACATGATTGCATTTAAATGTTAAAAAATTTACATGCACATAGTTTTTTTCATTCTCATCAAACAAATTGATGTTTCCGTTCAACATGATTCTAATATCAGAGTGTCGATTACAAAACACCAGTTCTGATAACAACTAATGTAGCAGAAACTTCTAAAAGGTAAAACTTAGATCTATTGATTTTAAAAATATATGAAAACTAGGTTTGAAAATAATGTTCTCAATGCTTTAAAAAAATCTTTTTAGAATTTGGAAATATTTTTTTCCGTGCTATAGAGTTCGGCTAGCTTTTTTTTTTTTAAATCTGTCGCTGATACGAACTGATTTAGCAGAAGATACTATAACATAGTAATCTTATTTAGTATTTGAATGCTTAAGATCAGTTTCTTTATAGATTTATTAAGATCTTTATACATCTAACATAAACAAAGAGTGAAGAGAGAACTCTTGCCTTTTATTATTGAAATTTTATTGGAATAGTTACAAAAAATAATACATTAGTAATCAAAATTTCATATATTTTCTTAATTTTTATAAAAATTATAAAGAACATCTTATTGAAACAAAAGGGACATCAAATTTCATTTATATACGTATTCTTTGTGATTATATATATTTTCTCATAATTTTATGCCAATAAAAATCTAATAAGTAAAATTATTTTTTTGGAGTTTTCTGTTAATCAGTATTAGTGATAAAACATGCATTGAAAATACAAAACAATATCTTTTAAACAACTTTTTTCTAAAACATATTCTTTCCATTCGTAAAAATGACATGTAAATGCATTTCACGTGGATTAAAATAATAATAAAAATCATAATTTATTCTTATTTATTATATATTCCCTCTGTTTCAAATTGTTCCATGTTTTAAAGTTTTCACATAAATTAAGAAAATATATGAAATTTTGATTACCAATATATTATTTTTGTATCTAACTATTCTCTAAAACTTTTAACCAATAGAATTTTAATAAATATTTTGGAAATTAAAAATCACCATTAATTGATGTATTGAAAATATAAAAAATGAATCATTCTGAAACACAAAAATGTTCTAAAATATACAATATTTTGAAACAGAGGGAGTAATAATTTAAATGAATATTGATTGACCTAAATATTTATTGATTATTTAAAAAGGTAAGAAAGAAAATTAATTTTACACTAAAAATATGGAGGACTTTTTTTAAACAAAATAAAAAGTTAGAATGATATTCTAAAGGAATATAACTTTATGAAACAGAAGGAGTAATATATCAGAATATTAATAGAACCAGTATTTCTAATGAAATTGTTTATTACAGATGTATTTGACGTTTTCATGGAAAACTGTGGGAAGTTTGTGAGCGGTGATATAAATGGTTTTATATCTCTGTACGAGGCGTCATATCTTTCAACAAAATCGGATACTAAACTGCAAAACTCCATCAGATTTTTTGCAACACAACAACTCAGAGACTATGTTGATAATCCAAGTAATAAAGATTTTGCATCCTGTGACCTCGGAGAAATGGTGGTCCAAGCGTTAGATATGCCGTACCATTGGCGAATGAGAAGACTAGCCACGAGATTGTACATTGATGTGTATGGAAAGAAACCTCACAAGAACCATGTCTTAGTTGAATTCGCTAAGCTCGATTTCAATATCGTACAAGCTCTTTATCAGGAAGAACTCAAATACGTTTCCAGGTACATATTAATTACTAGTCATATACCATTTTTACATATGTTATACCTATTTAGAACGCTAGATTAAAAAAAATTGTTTAATAGATTAGAAAACATAAGGCATATGTTTATTAATGAATTATTAACATGGTATTCCCGCCTTTTCAAACTCAAATGAGTATGTGTCACTCTTCATATTTAAATATGAATGATGATTAGGCTTGGGAATTTGGATATTTAGGTTGGATCACATCAGTTTCGGATATCGGATCATTCGGAATTTATGATCCATTTAAGAACCAAGGAAAATTCTGATTGGACCCGTTCACGTAATTTTCGGTTTTGTTTGTATAGTTAAACTATGAACCGGCTAATACCCTAAATAGTTTTGGGTTCACTTTGTTCGGATTCAGCTTGAATTCTGGGTAATCTAAGATAAAATATCATGTAACTCAGATAGTTCGTATGAAAATCTGAATAATTCTATTTCTTTTAGATATTTCATATAAATAATATTTGGATATTTTAGGTTATTGGGTAATTTTGGATAATTTAGTTCTCCAATTACTTTCAGATATTTTTATTAGGTCTATAACTTCAAATATGAAATTTTTTGTCTTCAAAAAATAATTCTATAACTTAAAATTTGAAGTTTTGAGCAGTGAATTTTAAATATAAAGTATCACTATTTAAAAATTTAAATTTGAAGTTGCATATTTTTATTTGCATTTTGGTTCTTACACTATTACAGTAAATATAAAATTATAAATAGAAATATATAATTAAATATTAAACTACAAACAAAATATCACATTAAGTTTGTAATATTTTTGCTATTTAGTTTTAAGATATTTTAAAATCTTAATTTTTTTTAAAAAGAAGTTATGTAAAAAGATTAAATTTATAGAAAAAAATTGAAATTCTTAGAGATAAGAATTTTCAAGGATTAAAACGATAAATAACAAAATATTTAAGAACTAATATTTCTGTAATATTTTTATATATATGCTAGTCATTTATAAAGGTTTTATGAATTTTAATTAGTTATAAAAAATATAAAGAGCATAGTATAAAATATAAATAGTTTTGAAGTTAAGTTAAAGTTTTATTTCGGAGAAGAACATTTTTAAACTTCAAATATAGAAGTTTGCAAACTCTAAAATATAAAGTCTTTTTGGAGATGCTCTTATAAACTCAGAAGTATAATTATTCCAAATTTTGATAGACGCCAACATCGATACAAACTATAAGGATAAAAGCCTTTGTTTTTAATTGAAAGAGTAATGTTTTAGATATTAATTGATATATTTTGTGGAAAAGTTCAAATATAAAGTAAAATATGAAAATATGAACAGTTGAAAACTTCTTGAAAAACAAAAATTTACAATGTACAAATATTTATAATCTTTAATATATATTAAAAACTAAAACATCAACATTTGCATATGGAAGGAGTATTATATAATATAATTTGCTACTTAAAGGAGATATATTACAACCTTTTAGATATGATATGTTTTCACAGTAAATTGTTTTTCAAAGTACATAGAGAATATGTTCGTCCCTTATTTATATATTATAATTCTCATTAAAATAATTATGAAATTAATTATACAATTAATTGTTTTCTTTTTTCATTAAATAAAAACTAAGAAATTACTTAATATCATTAAAATATAAATATGACAATTAATAATTTTAATAAATAAGATTTGATAAAAAATTGTTTATCTTCCATTATTTATGTTTAATTTTATATTATTAACATAAAATAAAAAATTATATCAACTATTTTTTCTATGTGTTATAATTAGATTTTTGTAAATGACTATAAATTACTAAAACTATTAAAATTCCCACTGTAAAAAAATTATGATTAATAAAATATATGAATAAAAGTCTCAGTTAATAAATATTCAAAATAATATATATATATATATATATATATATATATATATATATATATATAGTAAAGTATATACCATATAAAATACACAAATATTTTAATTTAAAATATTTCACTGAACAAGAATTGAGAATTAAAAATTTAATTTACAATTGTACAGTGAACTTTTAAGAATGATGAAAAATTATTAAAACTATTAAAAGTCCCACATTTTACTATTATATATTTATGTTAATATCATTTATATTTAATTATATTCTTATAAAATATATAAAAATTCTGCTTAGATTTATTTATCATAAAATAATATTATAAATAAACATTAGTTATATACGTAAGTTAACTATTTTGAATTATTTTATATTTATTATTTTGTTAGTTTTATAATATACAAAACAACGTAAATAAGTAATAATGTGTAAAATAATTTGTATATCTAATGGTCTTCATGCGGAAGACACAGATCTTTAACTAATTTATTATATTCCTCTTGACATCACGTGGTGTGAAGCTGGTGGAGGGAGACAGGTTTAGCTAATCAACTTCACTTTTCAAGAGATAGAATAGTGGAGAATTATTTTTGGACTATTGGACAAATCCAAGAGCCTCAATTTGGTTACGTTAGACGAATAATGGCCAAAATATATACACTCCTCACAACGATCGACGACATCTACGATATCTATGGCACTCTTGAAGAACTTCAACTCTTCACTGCCGCCTTTGAAAAGTAAATACTCTCACACTTCTAGTTTGACATCAATGTTTTTTGGTTATTTTATAACTCATGAGAAAACATGATACAGATTCAATTTTTTTCTATTAAAATATGCTGCAGTTGGGATGTAAATCGGCTTAATGAACTCCCCGAGTACATGAGGTTGTTTTTTCTTGTTGTGTACAATGAAGTCAATAGCATTGGATGTGATATCCTCAGAAATAAAAAAATCAACGTGATTCCTTTCCTCAAAAAGTCTGTAAGTGTATACTATTGCTGGTTATACTATTACTTTAGAAATGCTGGTAAAACATTTAAGAAAATGTTTAGAAACTACAAACATTATTTCAAATGCTCATTCATTTAATTAATTATTCTTTTAAGATATTTTAAAATACGTTTACATAATTTTCATTCTTTTAAGATATTTTAAAATACTTTTAAATATTTTTTTACTTTTACAATATTAATATATTTTTATAGTAAAAATTCTATTTTTGAAATGAAGTTTTAAAATAAATTTACTTTTTTCTTATTTTAAAAAAATATTCTAATAAATGTGTAAATATTCTAATATATATATATATATATACATAGAATGCATGAATACTATATTATATAGTAATTTATTGATATTTTTATATTAATTACTTACAACTTTACTAATTAAAATATACACATTAATGAGAGAACATATCATTTCTACATTATATTGCTTCTATAGTTTAAAATTATTATATTAGTATCACCTCTATCAATCAAGATCATGCTTTGATATTATTATTGAACATGTACTTCTATGTACTTTTATTTTTTTTATGGTTATTCGGTTATATTATCTACCATATATTTGACGACTGAATTGTAAACCAAAGAAACCATTCTCCCAGAGTAATCATACTTCAAAACTATGGAAATTCTTGAAAATTTTGTAAGATAAGAATCCTTTGTAATTATCCCAAAATTTAGTGGACAGATGTAAGCAATGCATTTTTAGTAGAAGCAATATGGTACAAAAGAGGGCACAAACCAAATATGGAAGAGTACATGCAAAATGCTTGGAAATCAATCGCAGTCCCAACGATACTTGTTCACTTCTACTGTATATTTTCTGACGAACTCTCTATTCAAGTCTTGGAGACTTTGTCCGAGCACCTCCAAAATGTTGTCCGATGCTCTGCCTATGTGGTCCGTCTAGCCAACGACCTTGCAACCTCGCAGGTATAGCAAATTCTTCCACGTTTATAAAATTTTTAGTTGGAGGTACGAGGTGCACCAATTGTAAGTTTGTAACTGTCATTTAACTACCCGTTCTTACACTACAAGTCTACAGCAAACCGATTTATTTCTAACCACGGTTAAATTTAACGCATTTTTAAAGTATGATTACAATATGTCCACCACCCATGTCCTAAGAATCGCTTGTAAACACTTAATTAGAAACATGAACTGAAACTATAGATATGCATGTAGTAATGTCGAATAACTGATATATGGCCTTCGTATATTTTATGAATATGAATGATACATAGGATGAATTGGCGAGAGGAGATGTCCCCAAATCCATCCAGTGTTACATGAACGAGACCGGATCTTCAGAGGAGAAAGCACGTATGCACGTGCGGCAAATGATCAACAACATATGGGATGAACTGAATTACGAGAAAATTGAAAATCGCCAGTCACTTATCTCTCAAGATTTTGTGGAATCAGCAATGAACTTGGCACGCATGTCACAGTGCATGTATCAACATGGTGATGGCCATGGCTCTCCAGAGAAATCCAAAATCGTTGATCATATCATGTCCTTACTCTTTAACCCCATTCCTCTAAATTGAATTGTATACATTAAAAATGTGGATGGACAGACGCGGCAAACACAGAACATCAATAAGTGTGACACATGGCACATGCTCTTTTTCCTTTTCTTTTAATAGTTTAAATAATTTGCTCTATACCTAAAATCCCACACCATAATATATTTGTTTATAAACGTCCAATTTGTGCTATTAAACGTAGTTTGCTAATTTAATCAATTTTTCTTTAAATAGTTTAAATAATCTGTTAAATACCCAAAATCCCACACCATGATACATTTGCTTATAGACATCCAATTTGTCCTATCAAAAGTAGTTTGCTAATTTAATCAATTTTTTTTTTGAGTTTTAAGCCAATTCACTCTTTTAAATTTTCCTTTAATCTCAAAGCTACAAAAAAGTGCCAAAATAAAACAAAAGTATGACAAAATGATATACCCCGCCCACTAAAAACATTAAAAGTGAATGCAATTTTCAATTATTAAATGAGTTATTCTTATGTTCATTCTCTATGGTAACTTCTAAATTTACCAACCAATAAAATTTAGGTATTATAAATTCAATAATTTTTAAACAAGAAACAAATAATCAGAATTTGTGAGATAATATTATATTTTATAAATAAATAAATAAAATAATAATTATCAAAATAAATTTGATTTTGAATATTGTAAAACTCGTCAGTAAAATACTAAACCCTAAACCTGAAATCCTTAATTCTAAAACATAAATTCTAAACATTAAACCCTACACCATAAATCTTTGTAACAAATCCTAAACCCTCAACCTTTAATCCTAAACAAAATTTAATATTTTGATAACGAGTTTAATATTTTGATAATGAGCTTAAGAATATTAATAAAATATTTTTGGTAATTATATTATTTTTATTTATTTTGAAACATAATATAATTTTTAAAAAATCTTATTATTTGGTTTCCTTTTGAATCTAAAATAACTAATTCATAATGGTTGGTGAGTTTAAAGGTTCACCCTATGGGATGAACCTAAGAATGTTTCTTCTTTTTTTTTTTGTGAAAACATAATCATGCACTTGGGTATTAAGATATGAGTTATTCTAGGGTTCACTCCCTAGGAACCTTTAGATTCACCAACCAATTATTACATATTTAAAAACTTTAAAAAAGAAATAAAATATTATCAAATTATATTGAGTATTTATAATAAAAAGTTAAAAATAAATAAAAATAGTAATAGTTATAAAAATTTTTCTTAACATTTTTAACGCCATAAGCAAAACACTAAACCCTAAACATTAAATCATAAATCATAAATCCTTGGGTAAACCAGAAATCCTTGGATAAATCTTAAAGTCTAAATAAAAAAAACTAAATTCATAATCCTAACCCCTAAACCCTTAGATAAAAATAAATTAAATTTAAAATATCTTTAACGCCGTCAGCAATACACTAAACCTTAAATACTAAACACTATAATCTAAATCCTTGGATAAACCATAAACCTTAGAGTTTAAAATTTATCAAAGGGGTTAGGATTAAGGGTTTAATGTTTTTAAGATAGTGTTTAGTGTTTCTAATCTAGAATTTATGATTTATTTGAGGACTTAGGGTTTATCCAAGGGTATAGGGTTTAGTATTTTATTGATGGCGTTAAATATATTATATTTTTTTTTGCAACTATTACTATTTTTATTTATTTTTACTCTTTTATTTTAATAACATAATATAGTTTGCAATATTTTGTTTTCTTTTTAAAAGATTTTAAATATATAATAACTTAATCCTATTGGTTGGTGAACCTATAGATTCACTTTAGGAGATGAATCAATATACGTGGGGGTTATTGGTTCTAATATTTTAAGGAATTTACAAAAAAAAAAATTAGATTTAGAAATCTTTGAAAAATCCATGGATTTTTAAATAAACAAGTGGATTTAAAAACAAGATTTTTTTTACATTCAGAGACACATTTCATGATTTCAATTACACTTTAAGGCACTTACAACATGAGACATACTTTTTGGTTGTGTAAAGTCTATACTACCCTTTAACTTTAAAAGTTTGGTTTTTTTGTGCAAAGAAAAAAAACAAGAGAGAGGGATTAGTTTGGTTATCATTTCAGTTTTCTGAACTCTCTCTCTCCTAAAATGTCGGTGAGCACATAAGATCCAAACAACCAAACAATGATCCAACGCAAAGAACATCGTTCATCCAATTTCACAATCGAAGAATATAATTTTGGAATGTTTTCCCTCTTTCTCCTTCCTTTTTAATGGGATTTTTTCAGTCCAATTTACCATAAAAGATTTCGTGTATTCATGGTCAAGATCACTGGCTATTGCTTTTTCTCTGGTTTAGTTTTATTCCCCTGTTTCGTTTTTTTTTTTGAAAAGATAATTTTTTGTTCTTTTGATTCAGTGGTTGTGTTCCATAAATTGAAAGACACAAACTGGTTCTCAAGGCAAGATACATACGTTTTCCTCCAATACTCTGACTCCTATCATCGTAACAGTAGCTTGCGGTGGTCGTCATGCTCTGAATCCGTCGTGGCGGCTGGTTGGAGCCTTCGTCATCGTGTTCAGTTGCAGAGAGAACCTCGTGAAGCAACAATGGTCAAGGTCATCTATTTTACACATCTGGTCCTTTAAGTTTTGGATATATGCACTTTGACCCCAACATTCTTTAATTTATTTATAGGTTCTCTGGATTTCGTCCCATACTTTTAATTATAGGCTTTAACCCATAACATCAATTCTCTTATTAACAAAATTCATATCCATACTATTTGCATCCATAAAATTATCTAATAAAATTAAATTTTATAAAATATCAAAAAAAAAAAATATATATATACGCATGTTTTATATATTATCTATGTTTTTAGATATTAGAAACAAAATAATAAAGAATAGTAAAAATAGTTTTAAAATAATAAAAATTAAAATAATCTCTATCACATTTCTATCATTGTGATAAGCTATCGGTTTTACAAATTTTACAGAGCTTCCTTTACCAATCTCTGCTGACTGTAAACTGAAGAAGGTGCGGATTTAGTTGATACCCATAGAGAAGAAGGCAATGATGAACATAATATGAGATATTGACCAAAAAGACAAGATATGAAATATTGACTTGTAGAAAATGTTTGTGACAAGTAGAAAATGTATAGGTGTTTGTTATAGCAATCAAACCATTGAAAACTTGTCAAACATAAAAAAAAACCTCAAAAAAAAATATTAGAAATCCAACCAAAATAATACGATTGAACCCATTATTTGCTTCTTTGTATTTTTACCCTAAAAACATTAATAAATCCACTCAAATCCAATTCTAAATCAAATCCTTAATAAATAAATATATGCTATTGAATAACACTTGATTTTAAAATCTATTTGAAAATCAGAAAACCAATAACAATAGATTTGAGTATAGATTTTAAAATTACAGAGCCAATAACACTGAATTCTATTTGAATTTCCAAACATACTAAAATACATAAACCAGTAACACCTCATAATAAGTCTATTTAAATTAGGTTTTATCATATTACGTTTTATTATGTTTTAGGTTATTGTAAACACTACAAGAAATATGTACATTCTTAGCTCATGAAAAATGCTATAATAGAGCTTTCATAGCGTTTTCTGTTCTGCTATGTCATCGGCAGCCATCATAGATACCCCCTCTACGATAGCATTTTTTCAAATGCTAAGAAATATGCATATAAGATAGCTATACTTGGATGATATTATTAACTTAAGTATAACATTAGTTTTGTACTATGATAGGTTCTAAATTAAACCAAAAATAATTATAATTAAAAATAAATTGAAACTAAATCGAAAATTTGTTTTATAACTAAAAATAATTAAATTTTATTTATACATTAATATTGGTTTACAAAAAAAATTTGGTTTACAAAACTAAACCATAAATTAAACTCAAACCACCATAGTTTCTCCAATTTGGTTTACACTAAACCAAACCTAAAAAACCTAAACCTAAAAACTAACTCCAGCCGCCATAGCTTCTTCTTCTTCTTCTTCCACAGGTTTTCAACCACTGTCCCGTCAAGGTTTTCTTCCACCACCGTAGTGGTGATGAGAAGCGCGTCGGTGGTGGTGCTGGTAAGGACGGAAACGAGCTAGAGACCGGCCGTCGCGTTTTCTTCCTTCTCTGCATCTCCGAGCTCTATCTCTTCTCTCTGTTCCATCACTTCGCTTGGTCTCCGCCGTACCACC